GGGGGGGGGGGGGTCCTGTTAGTCGGCGATGGGCGTTAAACCACGTTTTTGTCGTACGATTAAAATGAGACGTTTAATTAATACGTCTGGGGGGGAGGGGCATGAAGGGGGATATGGTCCAGCCGGGGGGGAGGGTTGGCGGGGAGACAATTGCGCGCCCACGCCTGACTCTTCAGTGGTATTTCTACTGGCGGGTCAACGCCTCGCGCGTCAGATCCTGTCGATTATTCCGGTGAATATTTCGCGGATTCTAGGGGGTTTCCAACGTTCTAGGGGAGGGCTTAGGGGAGGGGGAGGGGAAGGGTATTTTTGGGCGTTGGGGGAATTTTTTAGGGGCGAGTGAGGGGGGATCGGGGATATTATGGGGTGTTTGGGGATTATTGTCAACCGTGTGATTGTTTGCGGGGAGATGAACAGCGTCATCACAGTTTCCTTTAGCGGTACTGAAGGGTGGGAGATTCAAACATGGCGACTGTGCACACATTGGCGGTGAAGAGCGTAGGACCAATGCGCGAGCATCGAGCACGCCCGCTTTACCATCGTTTGAAGGGGTCTTGGTGCCCCCCACTTTGGCGAGATATCGCGGGAACTTGAATCCCTTGGTCTCCCGACACCATCGGGACTGCGTCTCCGGAGAGATATAGGGGAACTATTTCATTCAATCGATGGGGGGGGGAGGGGGTAATGCGCGGTGCGCGAGCCGAGGTTGCGTCTTTGGTGGGGATCCTTCGGGGGCTGGGGTGCGGCGGGGATCAAAAATTTCTCTCCGTGTAGGAAAATTAGAATGAAAATATTCTTGGATGTTCAATGAATTGAAAATCGAGCGTGATTTTGTAGGAAATATTCATTTTTTCGACAGAAATTTGAATAGATTTTGAAATTCTCATCTTCCAATTGTTTAAAAATTTTAAATTTCATCGATATTTCATGTTTTTTTCCGCCCTAAATCGAATTCAATGTCACTCTACTCAAAATTACTACTCAACTGCATGAAATTTCAATTGAAAATCGAGCGTGATTTGGCAGAAAATATTCATTTTTCGCTTGAAATTTAATTAGTTTTGGAAATTCTCATCTTCCAATTGTTTAAAAAATTTAAATTTCATCGCAATTTCATTTTTTTCCGCCCTAAATCGAATTCAATGTCACTCTCCTCAAAATTACTACTCAACTGCATGAAATTTCAATTGAAAACCGATCGTGATTTGGCAGAAAATATTCATTTTCCGCTTGAAATTTAATTAGTTTTGGAAATTCTCATCTTCCAATTGTTTAAAAATTTTTAATTTCATCGCAATTTCATTTTTTTTTGCCCTAAATCGAATTCAATGTCACTCTCCTCAAAATTGTACGAAAAAAACACTGTACGAAATTTCAATTTTTTTTCCAACAGTTTCAATCACAATTAACGATTCAATTCGATTCCCGGGGAAGTGGGGGGGGGAGGGGGCGAGGTGAGTAGCTGTAGGAATGATCAACGAGCCGTTTCGAGAACGTAACGCGTGTTACTGGCCAGACAATGGCACACGCGCTGTCTATTTATTACAGTCCCACTCAGCTTTTGTACAACAAGGGTTCGGTTACTGAGGGATTGGGCTGGAGGAAAATAATGATTTTAATCAAGCTATTTATCCGGGGTTATTTCTGATCATTTTAGAGTGGGGAGGGGCTGGTATTTGGGATAATTCGGGAATTGTGGTCGAACACTAGAGGTTGAGCATGCGTCTTTCAGGGGTGACGTATGTTCTAGAGAATTGGGCCGGTATACAGAGGACAGAATTGCATTGAGAATATTGTGATTGATTCGAGACATATTTTTTTCGGTTGACGATTTGGAAGAAGCGTTGACCCAATTTTTGACTTTATGGGGAGAAATTTTCATTGAAATTCTTCATTCATACGTTCAGTTGAATATATTGTAACAATTTGAATTAATCGACAGTTTAGATCATTTTGAATATTGATTCAACCGAATATTAATTGAAAATTCAATTAAACTGTAAAATTTTTATTTTATTTTGACTTGAAACTATTTCAATTCACCCCGATTCAACTTGCAATTTTAAATCTCATGATTCTTCCCTCGATAAATCACTATTTTCAACAGTACAGTTAAAAATTCAATGAATTTAGTAAAAATTGTCACATTTTAACGAAAAACTCGAGAGAAATTTCGTCATGTACTCCAGGATCAACACATTTCCACTAATTTTCACTCTCGCAACTAATCAACTACTTGTCCACAACATTAACCGGACATGTCAAATAATAAAAATTCATAATAAAGAAAAAAAAGTCCATATTTTGCAATTCAATTGAAAATTGCGTCTGGTGCCATTGAAAATCCGTCAAAGTTCGACTTCCCCAATGAAAAAATTGCCCATTGTACCCCTGTACTTGACTTATTTAATTTACAATGTCCAATGAAGCCCTGTCCTTTCAAATGACACGACTTGAATCATTGAGACTCTACCGATTCCTCAAGCAGCCAAAATTCCCCTCGAATGATGAAAAATATTCCCTCAAAGCCCCTCGAGCCGTGGAAAAAAATCATCTAAGGAGGGAAGAGTTGAGAACCTCCATGATGGTCCATTCTTGGCATCTTACAAACCTAAATAACTAACACGCCACCTATGATTTTCTCGGAACGCGATCATACACGATTAAATTGATTTGAGCACAGCGGCGATTCTCTCAGTGCATATGCACATTCGTCAGATCCCGCGAGCCGAGGGAAAAGAATCATCTAATAAAACTGAAACGAGTGCAGTAAATAAGTGTATATAAACTAAATAAGTAAATAAGGCGAAAGGAACGCGCGCGAACGACAGCGTCTGATGTGCGTGTTCGAGGATCTTTAAATGGGGGTAAGATGCACCATCGCGTCTCAAGGTATATACGCCGAGAGGGGTCCACGGATCATTACCTATACTTATGGATGCCTCATTATGGCCCATTACCGGTGCCCCGTATCGGCTTTATTATACACTCCTTGGTATAATATTTTTTCTCTCTCCCTCTCAACACACTTTTTACCTTATTTCCGAGCATTTTTTTTAACTTCATTTCTGGATTCCTCTCTTTTCATCATCATCTTTTGGCAACTTCCATGGGTCCAGAGCGCAAATAATTTTTTCGATAAACACCAGGTAGTTAGACTCTCTCTCCACACATCAAATGATCTGATCGTTTAGGCAAATTTATGGGGGATATTCACACTTTTTTCGTCGTGCACTATTTCTTTGGGGGAAATTCCATATGGGGAGCTATTTTATTTTTTATGGGGCGATGGGTATTTGTGGAAAATTGTTTGAGTAGAATGCTTTGGCAATTTCATTAATTTCATTGATTTTTTCATTAATTTGTGGACTTCCATATACAAAATTTCTTGAAATTACAGTAAATAGATGAATAAATAAATAAATTTGGTTGGAAAATGTTATTGATTCAAATAAAAATTATGTTTACACTTCCTGGATATATTATTTTTTCTCTCTCCCTTACAACACACTTTTTACCTTATTTCCGAGCATTTTTTTAACTTCATTTCTGGATTCCTCTCTTTTCATCATCATCTTTTGGCAATTTCCATGGGTCCAGAGCGCAAATAATTTTTTCGATAAACACCAGGTAGTTAGACTCTCTCTCCACACATCAAATGATCTGATCGTTTAGGCAAATTTATGGGGGATATTCACACTTTTTTCGTCGCGCACTATTTCTTTGGGAGAAATTCCATATGTGGAGCTATTTTATTTTTTATGGGGCGATGGGTATTTGTGGAAAATTGTTTGAGTAGAATGTTTTGGCAATTTCATTAATTTCATTGATTTTTTCATTAATTTGTGAACTTCCATATACAAAATTTCGTGAAATTACAGTAAATAGATGAATAAATAAATAAATTTGGTCGGAAAATGTAATTGATGTAAATAAAAGAGCAAATAAAAATTATATTTACACGTCCGGGATATATTATTTTTCTCTTTCCCTCTTAACGCGCTTTTTACCTTATTTCCGAGCATTGTGAACTTCGAATTTTTAATTAACTGCAAATTCAAGAAGATCATTACCTGCATTTTCTTCATTTTCATAAGTTTTCATTGAACAATTGAACCGAAATTTCTAGCTTCATTAAATTTCTCATCAATTGATCAATTTTCCATGAAGAAATTCCTTGAAATTTCAGCCTAAAATTTCCGAAATTTCAATGGGTTTGATGTGAATAAAAAAGCGAATAAAACTCCAGTTTGCGTTTGAATAAAATCTTCATCACTTCCTCCTCGAATAAAGCCATTTACTCAACTCAAATAAAGTCAATTCCATCAAAATAATTCCTTTTTTCGAGTTTCCATTTTATTTTCATAAAATCATGAATTATTAGCGTCGAAATTCCGTGAAATGTCACTTAAAAATTTCGATAACTCGACGCAATTAAAAAATGACGATACAATTTTCCCAAAACAGCACGACAAATTTCCAAAAAATCTGATTGAACTTGAGATCTCTCAATCTTGTATTCCACCAGGCACGCACAATGCGAATTCCCCATTATCCAAATACTAATTCCAGAGCTTAAGACGTACACAGAACGCGAGGGGGAAACTGGTGCACGAAGTTGATGATAGGTGAGCATGTGTAATGGAGTGCTAACT